CTGCAATTGAGATTGGGCGTGGTGGCACATGCCTGTAATCCCAGCTCTTGGGAGGCTATAAACAGGTGGATCACTATGACTCTGATCTAGCAGTGAGACCCTAAACACCCTGTAGACCCATCCCTAAAATACAAAAAAAAAAAAAAAAAAAAGAAAGAAAGAAAAGAAAAGAAAAAGAAAGAAACAAAAAGGACAAGGGCTCAGAGAAAAATCATAGTTGGAGTGGCTGGGGGAAAACTTTTTAAATAAAGTATAAGGATATAAAATGTTTTGATGACGACATGAAAGCATAATAGTGAGGCACAAAAAGGATACTCAGGGTTGGAGCTTCTGTATTTTCTCATTTTTCACTAACCACAGCAGCGCTGGCTACAACCCCAAGCTTGACCTTCTCCCTTGGTTCAAATGCACCTGATACCCAGAATGCAGCTCAGGACTGAGAAGGGTGGGTGTGAAGGGACCAGGCCTTCTCAGAGTAGCTAACCTGGGGAAAGGACCCACACCACCACTTTCACCCCATGGTCCTTCATTGGCCAGGAGTGGAGCTTCCTGTGGCATCCTTTCCACCACAGGAAGGCCTGTTCAGGGAACACAGTAGCTCCACATGGCTGGAGTCTGGAGCACAGGGGGTGGGGCAGGGTAGGGGCAGATCAGGAAGGACTTGCAGATTGGTCTGGAAACATAGGTTTTCAAAGACTGAAGATGTTGTTTGAGGGATTATGACCACATCAGGCTTGCAGAATAGAAAGACTTCTCAGGCTATCAAAAGGAGAAAAAAGATGAAAAGGAAACCGGAGTGGGGGAGAGGGCTGTACATGGGACCTGCAGAGGGATGACAGCAGGTCCAACTAAGGCAGGTACAATTGGATGAGAGGGCGAGGTTGTGTCAGGAGACAAGGCAAGGACAAATGAGAAGGCAAGGGAGGCAGGTGTGTCTGGTCTCTAGCTTAAGATGGAAAGACTGCAGAAAGGAACAGGCAATGGGAGAGCTGAGGTGCAGCCTTAGGCTGCAGAACAGAGAAAAAGCTGCATGTCCATGCAGCAAATGCTGGTGGAGGGCTGGGGCCACAGCACAGCAGGGGCTCGGTGCACAGTGACACCTACAGGTCAGGCAGAAAGGAAGATGAGCGGAGAGTGGGCACCAGCTGGGTGCTTTCAGAGTGGGCCACAGACAGGAGAGAGACGCTTCAAGCTTTAAGACTCCCATTTTTAATACCTGGATACAGGTCCGGCCTCCTCTATGAGCCCAGGATGGCTCTTTCCTTTCTGGGGTGCTCACAATTCTCAGAAAGTCTAAAACCCCACAAAGTTCCTGCCCCTTTTCCAGAAAATGAGGCAACATGAGGGTTCGGTAAGGGGCATGTGGCTGTTGGGCTACTTGTGATGTCCTCTCTCATTTGTGGAGCTGCAGCAGCTGGAAGACTTGAATGAGGTGCAAAGCGCAGAAGCTAAAATGCTTCGGCCAACTGCAGGGGAAGGACAAGGCAGACTGGCTACAGACAGGGACAAGGGGGTGCAGGCTTCAATGCCAGCCAGAAAAGCGTGGAGGGAGATGGAGGAAGGAGGAAAAGGCGCAGCAAAGAGGGAGAAGGAGGGGAAGGAGGAAGGTGGAGGAGGAGGCAGGACAAGAGGAGGAGGCAAAGGAAAAGGAGGAAGAGGAGAGGAAGCAGAGGAGTCATGGAGACCTAGACTGGGAAGGATCTCACAAACGCCTTTCAAGTGCTCGCAGACCACCGCCAGATGGCACTGTAGACATTATACACACGCACGTGCGCGCAGGGTCAACCAGTGGGAGGAGGGCATCGCAGGGGGCCACCCGACTGCAGTAACAGATATTCACAGAAGCAAGAAACACCTAAGGGGGCAGACACCAGCGTGTCTCCGACACTGCTCCCCAAATCTTCAGGATTTGGCCTTTGTAGTGCAGAAGGGACAGTCCATATTAGGCATCTTGGGACAAGATCCTCCACCACGTTGTACACCAATTGCCCACTCATTAGACAACTTGGACTTGCTATCATGTCCTAAAGATTGGATAGTTCTCCCAGAAGAAAAGGGGATCTCCTTCGTCAGTCCTAGAAAACTGATGCATCCTGGCACAACCAGCTTGGGGGAAGCCACCTGTCCCTAAGCGCCAGGAAACTCTGAGTGGACTGAAGCCACTTGGTATTCAGCTTGGTCCATGAAGACTAAACTTACCTGCAGTCCTGCTGGCAAATGGCTGAGGCCACAGCCTATTACGCAGCACTGTTCCCCTTGGCTGCTGGGTAGATGACGCTGCACACCAGGAGCAATTCGGAGACTGCAGTTTCCTAATTTGCCACCTGAGTGGCCAGAAGCGGCCGTCCTGAGCCTTTGCAGGGTGAGTGCTCTTCCCTGAACGCCTGAAGCAGACGCGGGCAGTGTCTTGTGAGTATGAGGGAAAGTGACATGGGGAGGACTGGCCAGGGGCACACGGGGGACCAGGACTTCAAAGGACTCTGCATGGTCACTCAGGGAAGATGGGATGAAGCTGCAATCCCTGTTTTTTACAGTATCTGGTGACGTTTTCTAAAAGCTATGGCAGGGGCTGGTGAGATGGCTCAGTGGTCTAAGGCACCTACTTAGAACAAGCTTAGCAAAGCACAAGGACTGCGGTTCAATCCCCCAGCACCACATGCCAGCCAGCCCCGCCCCCTGGTGGGCTGAGCTGGCCACACACACTAAATAAATAAATATTAAAAAATAAATAAATAAAAGCTATGGCATAATGTAACATTCTAAGTTTGGCTGAAAGAACTTCAGGAGTGATTAAGAACAGAAATGTTAGGAAACACCTCAGCTCTGGGGGTGTAGATGAGTGGTAGAACCTGCTCTGAGCACGCATAAGGTTCTGGGCTCAGTCCTCGCATCACACACAGAAACTTCAAAACACTAGTAGTGCAACGAACGACTGCACCTCCTTACTGGCTAAACACGTCAGGGGTAATCCTGCCACGAAGCTTGCGCGGCCTCATTCCTCCATGATACAGCCAAGGACACTGAAGCCACAGGCTATGATCTGACAAGTTGGGGGCGCAGCCTGGCACTGACCCCAACAGTGGTGAGAGGCAGAGACAGGGAGTGAGAGGTGGGGCCAATGGCAGACCAATCTTTCTAGAAACGACCCTCCCTATATGATTAATAACTCACAGAGATGGGTGGGAAAGGAGCCTGGTCTTTTCTGGTTAAATGAGTTGATTCACACTAAAATATTAAAGTTAAAATAAACACCATGGGGCCAGGGATATAGTTCAGCGATATAAGTGCCTGCTTGGCAAGCACAAGGCCCTGAGTTCAATCCCCGGTAACGCAAAATAAAAAAATAATTAATAAATAAATAAAAATGCCTTGCTCAATAGTAGCATTAATAACATAATTTTATATAACAATAAAAACTTATACAAAGAACCAGAAAATGAAGTCTAACAATTTGCTGCTTATAAGTTACAGATAAATAGCAAAATACATACACAATTTAAAAAATAATATGATGAGCTAAACTCAAGAAAAACAAGGGTTTCAATTATGGTATTTGGAAAAGAGAAGCTGAAGGTAGAAGCATTAAGAAGCAAAAAGGGGGTACTAAAAGGCACAATCTTTCAGTATATCACTATTTATATGCCCCACAGTTTTGTCTTTATGTATACCCTGCCTGTTTTGCAAAGAGGACTTGCAAAAACTATACAGACACAGCAGCATGTATGAAAGAGAAACAGAAATTAAAAGTGAAATAGAAGCCAGACCTAGTGGCCCATGAGTACATACCAGTGACTTGGGAGGCTGAGGCAGGAGGATCACTTGAGCCCAGGAACTCAAGGGCAACCTGGGCAACACAATGAGATCGTCTAACCACTAAATAATAATAACAATAATAGTAACAATAATAATAATAATAATAATAATAATAATAATGTGACATAGAAACAAACAAAAGGACAAACATACAAACTCAGACTATAATTAGATCAGGTAAATATTAACTATGTTGGGGTCACAAAGCCCTTACAAAAATATGAATGTTACAGGCCCACTGCCACATTCGTTCATGCATATATCTAGACGTCCTGTTCCGCATCTATGCATCCATAAGCCCTAAAGCCCCCAGGTGCTTATTCCAATGCAGGCTTTAGATCCCAGGTTAACAATTTCAAAATAAAGGGAAGTTAGAATATGACTAATTTCAAAAATTGAGTTAACCAAATTGATGGAATAATTTTTTTTTTTTCAAAACCACGGATTGAAGTCAGGCCCTCATGTTTGCCAGGCAAGTGCTTATTCTATTGAGCTACCTCCCTGGCCCCATAAAAATTTTTAAGAAGACACAAATGTGGGCTAGGGATATAGCTCACTGGTATAAGTACCTGTCTGGCAGGCACAAGGTCTCCAGTTTCCTGGTACCGGAAAAAAAAAAAAAAAAGAAAGAAAGAAACAACCCAAAGTTGATAATGTATCCTGGCCTAAAGAAGCTCTAAAGACACCTAGAAATGTTGATGCCATAGTACAAGAAGTAAGCAGCAATGATGTAAGTCTCTGCCCCTTGAAAGTACGAAGAATAAAAAACACTTGGGCCAAAAGGAAATTCCCAAGACCACACACACACACACACACACACACACAGAGTAAAAATTATTAAGAGCAGATAAAGCTGTAACTAATAAAAAACCATAAACCAAAATATCTACATTCACTAATTCACTAGTAGTACTAAAAATATGTTTAACCATTTCCAAATAATTAATCTTAAAAGGTATTAAGTGGGGGAGATACATTTTGACAAAACAATTAGATTGGTAAACAAAAATCAAGAGTTGGAGTTTTATGACACTCAAAAACATCTTAAGTAGGGCCCAGGAGATAGCTCAGTGGAATAAGTGCTTGCTTGGCAAGCGCAAGGTCCTGAGTTCAATCCCTGGTACTACACACACAAAAAAATAAGGTTAAAAAAAAAAAGTCTAAAGCACTGCTGGCTAAACAAAAAAAAATGTAAGACAGTAAAAACAAAAGCAAACAATTCAATTAAAAGATGGCAAAGAGCTAGAGTGTACGTCAGGGGTAGAGTGTCTGTCTAGCATGCTTAAGGTCCTGGATTCCACCCTCAGTGCTGCAAACAAAACAGAAAAACCATGATTAAAATATTACAGACAACATCATTTATAATTTTACAGAGAATTTAAATGAGATTTCTTTTTAAAATGCATTGTAAAAGAGTTTGAACAAAAGGGAACTAGGCTGTGCTCATTCTTCCCCCAAAAAGATCTGGGGTTTTTTTTATTATTATTATTTATTTATTTGTATTTTTAGTACAGGGTCTAACTACACAGATTGGACTCTAGTGATGCTCCTGTTTTCAGCCTCCCAAGTGCTGGGATTACAGGCGCGAGCCATCACACCCAAGTCTCAATCACCATCTCAGCACACCCCAGGGGTGGGGCTGGTACTGCACACCAGGGATCGAACTCTGGTCCCTGCATCTGCCTAAACAGGTGCTTTAATCTGCTGAGCTATTTGGCCGCCCCTTCCCCCGCTTTTTTTTTTTTTTTTTTTTTCCAGCATCATGGCTCAAACTCAGGACCTTGCACTTGCCAAGCAGGCGCTTAAGCTGCTGAGCTATCTCCCCAGCTTAACATCTTTATGTAAGACTCTGTTAACCATTCAGGGAAGGAGTAGTCATCACCCCCATGTTATATAAAAAGAAGACACTGGGAGAGAAGGAAGAGGGTGACAAAGAGGAAGAGGAAGAAGAAAGCACACACTGCAAAATGTGAAAACAGCATCAAGTGACTCGCAGAAGCCAGGCACAAATCGACACAGCATCCAGCAAGGGCTGCCCTGACCTCCACATTCAGGGCCATCAAGTCCAGTTTCTTCAGAGGAAGTAGGCCAGATTGGCCAAAACGAGACTCCACGGCAGAAAGGCTTCTGGAAGGTGGCTTTAAGGGGAGCACTGACATGTGCAAAGTGATGCTTTAAAAGTCAACGCTGGTTGTGAGAGCACAGGGGTGTAATCCCAGCATTCTGGGAACCAGAGTCAAGGATCACAAATTCAAGCCCAGCCTGGGCCATTTAATGACTTAGCCAGGCCCAGTATCAAAATAAAAAAAGGAGCTGAGCAGCTAGCTTGTGAGAAGGCCCTGGCTAGGTTCAGTTGCTAGTACTGTCAAAAAAAAAAAAAAAAAAAAAATCAAGTTAAGGGGAGATAGCTCATCAGTCTAAGTGCCTGCCTAGGCGATCCCCAGTGCTACATGCCATGCTGGCCCTACCCTGGGTACACTGAGCTGGCTACCAACACCGGCGCACTGGCACATGCCTGTAATCTCAGTGCTGGGGAGGCTGAAATGGGAGCTGCATAGTAAGACCCAGAACCAACTATATAAAATTTTTAAAAACAATGAAAAGATCAAGTTGAGCTGGGTACAGTGGCAATGCTTACAATCTCACCAACTCAGGAGGCCAAGGCAGGAGAATCACAAGTTTGAGATCAGCCTGGGCAATGTATGTATGTCAAAATAAAAAGGTTTGGGGATGTTGCTCAGTGTGATATAGAACCTCTGGGTTCTATCCCCAGAAACACACACACACACACACACACACACACACACACACACGTCCATTTGGAGGGGGTGTGCAAAAAGGGCAAGGAGGCAAAGACCCAAGGTATGCAACAGATGCTTGCTGAATAAGGCCTACTCAAGATTGACATGGAATGGGGGCAGGTGGGGTGAAAAGGTAGCTATTTCAGGGGCCCTATCTAATGGCACCTGCTATCCCAACTGTGTTGTGACATTCTCTCTTCACTCCTGATAAATGACTGAAGACCCTGTATATTAGCTGCCTGCAACAGTGCCCAGAGACACCCATCAGGTCCCGGGATTCCATAATCCAGCTGGTAGTATGGCGGCTTCCAAGGGACAGCAGGCTGTTGGATGTAGCCAAGGCTCCCACTGGAATCTCTCCAGCCCATTATACCCATGATTCAGAATCTCCAGCCTAACCTGGGTGTGGTGGCACACACCTGTAATCCCACCACTCCGGAAACAGGCCGGAGGATTGCTATGAGCTCAAGACCAGTCTGAATTACATAGCAAGACCCTGTCTCAAACAAAAACAGGAAGACAAAATCTCTGGCCTACCAGGTCTCACTTAGGTACAGATATGGCTTTTTCACATTAATTTGTCAAAAATTATATACCATATCACACTTCTGACCAGCTGAAATGGTCCTATCACCATGATACACTCATGCATTCCAGACATAAACTCTTGGAAAACTTTAAAATAGCACCGACCATCTCTTTCTCCACTAGCTCTGAGGAGTATGGGCAGCACTAAAGAGATTCCCCAAAGAGCAGCTCTGTGGTAGACCACTTGCCTAGCACGTGCAAGGCCCTAGGTTCAATTTTCAGCACTGCGAACAGATCCTCTGGCCTGGGACAATGCTTATCAACTGGCAAGACAACTCTTCACTGCCCAAGCCCATTCACAGGGCGCAGGGGGTAGAGTCAGGAGACAGAGCCCTTTTCAAGCTCTATTCTGGCAAAGTGAACAGGCAGGCTTACATGGGAAACTGTCAAGGCTGCGTGAAAGCCCAGCCCAGGGCTTGCTGCCTGGCCACATGCTGTAACTTATAACCACTGAGGGAGCATCAGAAACCAGTCAGGGACCCAACATTAGTGATTCAACTGGTGAAGGTGGGACATGGTCAATGGCAGTTCTTAACCACCAGGTGAGCTGCAGTTAGGAGGAAGGTAGGAAAGATCACAGGAGCATGGATACCACCACTGCAGCAGGAGGCATGGGAGGGTGTCTGGGAGGTCACGTCAGTGTGTTGGACACTTCTCTGGTCTTCAGATAACACGCCTCAGGGTAGGACCCTCAGGGGGTCACTCAGGTCTGCCTTCTCAACCACCACCCGTGATTGCTTAGCTGCCAAAGCATTTTCAAAAGTGGTCCCATTCTAAACAGAAGCCTTGAACCTATCCTTAGAAAGACTAGGTCAGAGGTCATCACCGTGTGGGGAAACAGCCCTGGGAAGTTGTGGGGCTTAGGTCATACAAGTAGAAAAGCAGGGCTGGAGTTTGAACCCCACAAGTAGAAAAGGCAGTGCTGGAGTTTGAACTGAGACTGTTTTGTTTTTGTTTTTTTAGGATTACACATCTGATTGACATGGACGAAGAGGGGAGACCATGAAAGAAATTTAGTTTTAGCCCTGCTTTATGGATAGATATAATTTTTCTAAAAACAAACACTGAAGTTTTCAAGACCACATCAGAACACTTCGTGAAACCATTCTATGTGGGATCCAGGAAACACTACGTGAAGACTAGGAAAATCATGAGTGAATCAGCCCTTCCTGTCCAACCTTGGCCGCCTCCTCCAAATCACCTGCTTCCCACATGCCAGCACCAAGGAGCAAAGCAGGGAATCAGTGTAACTGCCAGGCCAGAAGTGGCCCTGTTGGCATCCAAGGCACACTGCTCCTGGAGCACTAGGTCTCAGAGGGGTTCCTGGGGGGTGTCAGTAGCCAACACCCAGCTGAGCCACAGATGTCAATCATCCTGTGACCACAGAATGGCTGAACCACTGCCCACTTATGAGAGATCCACTGACAGAATCCTCTCAGGCTAACCAGAGGGTTATGAGATCATGCCAGCGGTTCATCATCCTCATCAACCCCTAAATCTGTCTTTCTGGACCCTCCTCTGCCTTAGTAACATGCTTTGGTTGTCCCCATCAATGCCAAACCTAGGCAGAGAATTCCATTTTGTCCCCTTTACATCTACTTTTTCTTTCATTTTCAGCTGACTTGGACTATGAATGTGCTTTCTGTCTTCTGAAAGTGCCAGTCTGCTGTCTGATTTAAAGAGTAAATCTAAATTTCTGGGTTTATCTCTTATTTTCCTTTTTTTAAAAATGTATTTAGTACAGGATCTACAGGGTCTCACTACACAGCTTGGACTTGTAGCAATCCTCCTGTTTTCAGCCTCCCAAGAGCTGGGATTACAGATGTGCGCTACCACACCCAGTCTCATTTGGTGTGTCAGTGTACCCCAGGGGCGGGGCCAGCAGGGCAGGGCCAGGATTGAACCGCCAGTCCCTGCATCTGCCTAAGCAGGCTCTTTAATTCACTGAGCTATCTGGCTGGCCCTATCTCTTATTTTCTGTCTTTTGACAATTCTTCTTCCACTGAGAAAAGCAGGGAAAAACAAAATCTCATCTGCAGGCTTAGAAGCCAAACGTGAGAATAAAAAAGCTGAAAGCTGGCTCTCTTTGTGGGCTCACCTCCCCTGATTCTCCTTCCCTTCTACCCAGGAAATCTGTTGAGACCATGATGATACATGGGGCTTCCTGATAACAGGGATGCTCAGGAGGGTCCTGTTGGAAGGTGTCCACCTGGCAAGGTCATCAGGGAAATAGGTGGGGTCTTAGAGACAAAGTGACATGGATATGGACTCTATCTAGCAAAGGCTTCCAAGTTGTGGTGGGACTTCTCCTTCTAGAGCTTCTCCCCAGCATGGACCTTCTGATGCCGGATCAAGTGTGAGCTTCCTCGGAAGGACTTGCCACACAGATTGCACACATAGGGCTTCTCTCTGGTATGGGTTTTATAATGCTCAATGAGAGCAGACCTGTGCCTGAAGGCCTTGCCGCACTCACAGGCATAAGGCTTCTTGCCAGTGTGGATCCGCTGGTGCTGAATCAGCGCAGAGCTGTGGCAGAAAGCCTTGCCGCACTGACAGCACTCATAGGGCTTCTCCCCAGTATGGATCCGCTGGTGCTCAATAAGCGAAGAGCTCTGGCTGAAAGCTTTCCCACATTTATGGCACTTGTAGGGTTTTTCACCAGTGTGGGTCTTCCGATGTTCAATGAGGTTGGAGCTCTGGCTGAAGGCCTTTCCACACTCTTCACATTTGTAAGGTTTCTTCCCTGTGTGAATCCGCTGGTGCCGGATGAGGTGGGACCTATGACAAAAGGCTTTTCCACAGAGATCACATTCATGGGGTTTCTTTAGAGTGTGGATTTTCCGATGCTGGCTCAGGCCTGAACTCTGGTTGAAGGATTTCCCACATTCCTTACACTGATAAGGTCTCTCTCCTGTGTGAATTCGCTCATGTTTTCTGAGGCTGGAGCTCCGGCTGAAATCCTTCCCGCACTCCCTGCACTCATAGGGCCTCTTCCCCGTGTGGATTTTCTGGTGTTGTGAGAGGGCTGAGCTCTGTCGGAAGGCCTTCCCACATTCCTGGCATTCATATGGCTTCTCGCCAGTGTGGATGATCTGATGGCGGAGAAGATGAGAGCTCTGGCTGAAGGCCTTGCCACACTCGCAGCACTCGTAGGGCTTCTCCCCAGTGTGGATGACCAAGTGTCGCAGAAGGTGTGAGCTCTGGCTGAATGCCTTCCCACACTCACGACATGCATAGGGCTTGGCTGGCTGTGGGGTTCTGTGAGGGGCATTAGGTTCCAAGTCTCCCCTGTCTGCTTCTTCAGGAGCTTGTGGACTGCAATCTTCACTATGGATGATCTGACACACACTGATGTCAGGTTTCTCGAGAAAGGCTTGGCCAAATATCTCCTCATCCTGGGGTCTGGCTCCTGAGAGGATACTCTGAGGCTGAACAGGGCTGGAACAGAGACTGAAATTCCCCTCATAATCATCATGTTCCAAGTCCTGCTCCCCAAGGGGGATCTCCTTATAAATAACAGCCATTTGTTCCAAGCCTCTTTCCTGAAGAAAGGGGTCTCCCAGGTCTTCCCCTGGGAAAAGTTCTTGCTGTGCTTCTAACCTGTCCTCAAAAACAAAGGTCTCACTAAACTTGGTTGCTGGGGGAACCTCCATTGTGAATCTCAATCCCAATGATGGTATGTCTTTAAAAACACTCCTCTTTGAGTTCCATTCACTGTTCTTATAATCTGAAAAGAAAACAAGGGATGTTGTCAAGTCTGTAACTCAAATATCTCATAGGTCCCTCCTTCCCATGTTAGAACCAGTAACAGAACAAACGAGTTAGGTACAGTGGCATATGCCCATAACCTCAGCAGTCTGGAGGGCTAAGGCTGGAGAACTGCAAGTTCAATCCATGCCTGGGCAACTTAGGTATTTCACAAGTCCCTGCCTCAAAAAATAAAAATGTCTAAGATGGGCACAGTGGCACATGCCTATAATCCCAGCACTCAGGAGACTGAGGCAGGATTGTTGTAAGCTCGAGGAGAGCCTAGGCTATACAGTAAGTTCAAGGCCAGTCTGAACTACATATCAAGACCCTGTCTCAAAAATAAAATAAAATAAAATAAAATAAAAATAAAAAGTTTTGGGGATGCAGCTTAGTGCAAAGCCCCTGTGTTTAATTCTCAGTACTACACACACACACACACACACACACACACACACACAATCAAGAAAGGAAAAAGACCAAAGAAGTATAGTATAGGACAGCCTTGGCCTTGAAATAATCTCAAATAAATTAGAGTGAAATTTCATTTACTAGGGGACAGCAAGATAGCTCAGCAGAATAAAACACCTGATTAGGCAAGCTTAGGCAGGCACAGGGACCACAGTTTGATCCCCGGCACCACATGCTGTGCCAGCTCTGCTCCAGAGCAGGCTGAGCTGGCCAGAGTCCAGGCATAGTGGCGCACACCTGTTACTCCAGTGCTGGGGCAGCTGAAAGCAGGAGGATCACCATGAGTCCAAGCTGTGTAGTGAGACACTGCAACAACCAAATACATTAAAAAAAATTTTTTTTTCATTCACTAGAAACAACCAGAAGGAAAACAAACAGAGAAAATCAAGTGCCACAACAGTGTGTCTAGACTCAGAGTTAGTGTTCACAAAGGTGGGCTAAAACAGGAAGTGGAACCATTGTGGAAAAGAGGACAAATCTCTGGTGACTGAATGATGCTGGCAGTAAGATTTTTGGGAAAGACAGAGTACAGTAGCACTACCTCCAGTAGGTACCCAGTCAGAACTCCAGCATCAGCCTAGACCCTCTCATCTTTGCCCAACCCAACCTGTTCAGTCCACTTCCTGAAACCACCTGCAAGGCATCTCTTTCCCTTTGTCCTCACCGCCATTGTGTAACTCAGGTCTCAGGGCAACTCCCTCGGATGCTTTTCAAAAATCACCTCTTAACTGGCTGCCTGCCTCCAACTGCTACTTTTCTGTGCTCTACACTTAAGACAAAAGTCAAATACCCACACACAAGCTTGATCTTGTCATTTTTCTTCTTGGGATCTTGCAACAGCTGAAATCCTTCCCACATTCCTTCATACCCGACTCCTCCAGCCTTGACTCCTGCCTCTGTTCCCTACACATTAATCTTCTAGCTTGACAGTTCATTTCCACTGATTTGTCTTTTCCTAAAAGGTCCTTCCTCTGCTCCTGTTCAACTTTCCAAACTCGATCCAAATGTCCCTCAGCCTCTACTCTCTCAGACTCAACGGCCATCTTGGTGAGCTGTGGTGCTGGTTGTACCGTCACAGCACTCACCATCCTGGATATTTATAAGACTGTCCCCAACATTAGTCTCCCACTCCCTGAAAGCAAATTCTGTGCTCCTCTGATGGTGGAATTCCCAGTCCCCAGCACAACAGCACAATCTCAATGCACACAGTTGTGCATTAGGAGGAAAAGCCATTTGTTTCTATGATACAACTATCACACTTTTTTCTTTTTTGTCAAACAATTGTTTAGGATATGTAAATAAATGAAACAGATAAAAGCAGCACTGTTCCAGTGGAAGGGGGGCTGTTTAAACAGGGACAAGGAAAGATGCTAGAACACCCCATCCAGCCTTCTACTATAGTGGTCTCTGAGGAAGGTCGTTAGAGATCCATTCAGAAACTTCTGTGCCAGATAAAGAAGTCCTCAAGTGACATGATGACAGTAACAACCCCTCATGTTTGAGCACCTATTATGCATTGGGCAGCACTAGAACTTCATAAGCATATTGTATACTTATTTGAACATAGTCTGCTTGTGTAGTTTAGGATGTCCTTGAACTCACTATGTAGCCCAGGCTGGCTTTAAACTCACAGTGATCCTCCTGCCTCAGCCTCCCAAAGTGCTAGAATTACAGTTGTACACCACCATACCTGGCTCAGCCTGTGCTTTTCAACCTCTAGTCCAGTAAACTTCCATTTTCACCCAGATTCTCCTCTTCTAGTTCCATCCCTTCTTTGTCTGGTTTACACCCTCTCCCCTTAGTAGGTCCAACTATGGGTGTCTCTTCACCTTGCCTGCCAGCATCACTCTCCTCACACCTACCTGTCTGGTGGCCATCAGTTGCTGACTCCTAACCTTCTCTGCCAATTCCTCCTAAGATGTGAAATGTTGGCCAGCAAAATCAATGCTATGCACAGCATCACAACAGATTTCAAGTTTCCAATTTCAGCTGGGATCTTAGCATGCAGTTCTGGCATCCGATGACCTCCTTATTGCCAACTCCCTTTCTTCTGGGTCCTCACCTTCCCACCCTATCTGGCATTGCTCATTAATACCTCCTTTTCCACACCCGACATTTTGGAAAATGCAAGCTGGCAGCCTGGGGATACTGCCACATAGACACGTTTGGTTTGGCTCTCAAAGAGTTGAGTTTTTCCTTAGTTGCCAATATTTATAACGCAGGAAGTTTCTGATGTCTTTAAAAAAAACTGGAAGACGTCATAACAGTCCCATTTTTCAATAATTCACGCTGCCTACCTGGATGTCGCAAGTTTTGAGTTTGCCCCTACGGCTCCTCCTCCCTGCCCCCACTTTATTCCCTCGGTTTCTGAAAGTTTTCTTCTCAATCTCCATGCACTCTGATCCTCCTTCTTGGTATGTGTGGATTGCAAATCTTCTCCACCCACCTGTTACATCCGGGTATTTCCCATGCTCTCTCCTTGCAGATTTGCCATTCCCAGTATGTAACAGCCCCGGCAAGATTCAATCTCCATTAGGGATAAAAAATTGGCAATCATTCAATCTGCGCCAATGTGTTCTATGTTTTTGGACGACAAATCCACAGGTGTGGAACCCCATGTTTCTTTCTCTCTCGGGGCCTTCTCTAGCTCTTCCTGCATCAGTCACCCATTTTCCAGGGTGCCACCACCCCACCCCACCCCCACAGCCCACGCACTGGCAAACCCTCAGTGTAGTCAGGGTCTCCCTGCTAGAGACACGAGAGCAGCCGCAGAGCTGCACGCGCTGCCCTGATGGCGACGCGACGCCGCTACAGTCCTCCCACCAACTGAGGACACCCCTACGAGGGGTACCGGAGGGACAGGTGGTCAGATGCGCTCAGGTCACATTGGCAGACTTGCTGCCACTCACCTGAGGTGGGGCGGAGCGGTGCACCTGGGCTGGGGCGGGGCCGCAGGCGGGCGGGGCGGGGCGGCACCCAAGCTGCTCCAACCCGCAGTCGTCTCGGCCTCCCTCTTCGGCTGCAGTTGACGCGGAGCCCGCGGCAGCCAGAGAACCTGGAGTCCCGCCCCCAGCCCGCGGGCACTTCCGGGACCGCTCTAGGCCGCGTGGAGGTCCTGGCATCTCGGTGGTCCTACCGTGTCAAGCCGGAGGGCTCGTAAAGTACCCAGAAGCTAGGGCGAGGGCACCCGAATCGGAAAAGTCTCTCTGATGAAAGGAGTGCGACTGGCCGTGGAGAAAACAGAGCTCGGCCGCTACTGGCCGGAGTGCAGAAGAAAAACCTGCCAGGAAACCTGGGCCCGTCTAGACCACAGGAACGCTGTCTCTGCCTACGGGTGAGACAGGGGCCAGCCAGGAGTCTTGGGTTTTCAGAAGAGGAAGGAATCCTCAAAGTTCTCAACAAAGAAGTCCTGTTTGAATTCTCCCTCATTCAAGAGTAGCCCTGGTCCTCTCTCTTCTGCCCACTCCCAGATTGGGAGATGTGGCAGGGATCCTAGTCAGCACCCTGGAGCCTCTAATTTGTACGCCTCTGGGTGCTAACCTCCACATGTGAGGGGCCTCTTACGGGCACCAGAAAGGAAGAGGGATGTGCTTGTTTTATTTTGATGCTGCTGGGGATCTATTCCAGGACTTTCTGCCAACTAGGCAAGTGCTCTACCACTGAGCTACCCCTCTAACCCTGGCTGGTAATATTTTGCACGCTCCAGTGCCGCACAGCTCTGCCTCTGATGGCAAGACTTGCTGTTTCATCCATGTCTCTGCCCCTCAGCGCATAGCGGCTCAGGTGTGGCCACCCAGCCTGTTGCGGACGCTTCCCCCACAAAGAGACATCAACCTAATCACTGGAGACCAATAAAACACACCGGTGGGGCGGGATGCTCCCCAGGCATTTGTCCGTCTTCCTCGCACACCCTTTGTCTTGGCCTCAGGTGCCTCTCATTTCCCTTCATGCCCCATGCCACCTACACACACGCGCCTCCTGGCTCTATCAGTGACCCATGGGACCTTTTGCAGAGACTCCAGGTGGGAGGCAGGGGCTGCCCCTCAACAAGCCATCAGCCTTGGCTTTGTGGGGACCAGCCTCCCCAGACTGGGTGAACGTTGGACCACAATCAATCATGCACAACTGGGGACAATAACGGGTGGTTCCTTTTTCTCCCCCTCTAGTGCTTCAGGTCACCGGAAGGCCAGGCCACCAGGCTACCAGGCTGAACCCCTGGGGACAAGGGCAAGGCTAGGCCACTCCCCAAGCATCTCAGGTGCTTCCTCTTCAGCAACGATCCTACACACACTCCCAGACCAACTACAGTCACATTTTTGGCCAAGAATTCATGCCCTTCATAGTAATGTTGAATTTTATTAATCCATTGTACAGAGAAAGAAAGCAAGGATCAGAGAGAGAGGGGTATCCAAGTTCAGGTGCAGAAATAGGCAGGAGGAGGCATTCATCCGATACTCCACCCCTAGGGATCAGAGCTGTAGCCAACAGAGCAGTAGTAATCAGCGTCATCCTCAGGCTGCACTGGGCTGATGGTGAGGATACATGCATTGTGGGCCACATCCTTGGCAGCTGAGAATCGATCAGGGGTATCATCAGGCCGGTGGAAGTCCTCCTCCGAATTGTAGTAGAGAAGGTACCGAGGGGCACTACCTGCCCGCTGCTGGTACCAGGACACTCCATAGTCTGCAATGTTGGCATGCTGGGGGATGAGTGTGCAGGAGAGTTGAGCAGCTTGGCCTGGGAAGACCAGCAATGCATCCGGCTGGGCCAGGGCTGGCTGGGAGACTGAGAAGATACAGGCCACTGAGGCCAGGCCTGGATCCCTTAACTCCTACCCCTTCCTAGGAAGGTTTGGTCAAACTACAAGGAGATGCCCACTTTCATAGCCCCATGCCATGGGATTGGCATTAGATAGAGCACAGGAAGCCTGATTCCATGTGACTTAGCTTACCCTCTAGGCCTCCATTCCCCTTTGTGAATGAGGGCTTTGAAGTTAGTTATCACTATATCACCACTAGTGCCAGGTCCCCAAGAAGCCATGGTCACTTGAACATAGGACTCTTACTCAAGGTGCTCCCATTGCCCACTTCCCTCTCTCTGCAAACCTTTTCCCCCTGAGTTTCATGACTCTTACAAATGCTGACTATAGGCTCCCAAATCCCAGGAGACTCTACCCATCAAGTTAGCGCTAGGCCACTGCCACTGGGGACTTTCTTGGAGGCAGGTTGCCTTTGAGGCCTGTGGAATAGGGACCAGCCCAGGAGAGTTTCCCCTGTGAAAAATTAAGGTTTTAGGCTCTGTTTTCCTTAAATACTCCAAGGGTGAGTCTAAAGGGACCTTAGTGACCTTTTCATTATCAAATGAAGAAACCAAGAGAAGTGACTGGCCCTAGGTCATGGGCAGAGCTGCCTTGAGCCAGGTCTCCCTCTAATTGAGTCCCTCTCCCAGGACTTTCTTGTATTCATTGATTCACTTCTTCCCACAGACCTTCTCAGGTCAGTGCAATCCCCCACTCCACCCCGAGGCCAGCCCAGCCATGGGAGGGCTCACCTGCCAAGAAGACTCCCATCAGCAGGAGGACCAGGCACAGAGGACAGGGCATGACCAGAGGCAAAGAGGCAGGCAGGGAGATGTTATGCTGGGCTATGCTTTGGGTGCACAGGACTGAGGACTGAAGGAGCACAAAAGGGCATGCAAATTAACTCATTGACTGAGGAAGTGGAGGTGTGGCTAGGACCAACAGCCTGGCCCTGTCTTCCCAAATGTCAAGGTCCTGGTACATAGAACTGTGGGAGATCAGAAACTTGGAAGATCCCAAATGCAGTTACAGCAGGAAGTTGAAATCTGCTTTACTTTTTGTAGCACTGGAAATCAACCCAGGGCCTCACACATGCCAGGCAAGTGCTGTACCACTGAGCTATATCTCTGAGCCCAGAATCTACTTTTTTTACTGTGGTACAAGTGGAATATGGGAAAGTGCATAAGCCTTAAGCAAATAAGGTCAATGTACGCACACACAGAGCACTGTATTGTCTACCTGGATAAAGATTTAGAACATTTCCATGCAAGTATGGTGACACACACACTCTGGGACACTGAGGCAAGAGGATTACAAATTTGAGCCAGCATAAGCAATTTAATGATTTAGTGAGATCCTGTCTCAAAATATTTTTTTAAATAAAAAGGGGGGCCAGCCAGATAGCTCAGTGAACTAAAGCACCTGCTTAGGCAGATGCAGGGGCTGGGGTTCAGTCCCTGGTTTGCCATGTTGACCCCACCCCCGGGACATGCTGAGACAGAGATTGAGACTGGGCATGGTGGTGCACACTTATTATCCCAGCGCTTGGGAGGCTGAAAACAGGAGTCCGATCTACGTGGTGAAACCCTGTAGACCCTGTAGTTCCTGTACCAAATACAAAAAATAACATTTAAAAAAAAAAAAAAAAGTTAGGAGGGCCGGCCAAATAGCTCAGAAGATTAAAGTGCCTGCAAGCAGACTCAGGGGCTGGGGGTTCGATCCCTGGACCTCCTGTGCCTGCCCAGCCCCCCAGGGCCGTGCTGAGATGGCAATTAAGATTGGGTGTGGTGGCGCACACTTGTAATCCTAGCTCTTGGGAGGCTGTAATCAGGCAGATCACTAGGAGTTTTATCAAGCAGTGAGACCCTGAACACCCTGTAGACCCTTCCCTAAAAAACAAGCAAACAAAAGAGCTGGGGATGTAGCTCAGTTCATTCTCAATACTGAAAAAAAGAAAAAGAAAGAAGAGAGAGAGAGAGAGAGAGAGAGAGAGAGAGAGAGAGAGAGAGAGATTGATTTCCATGTCTCCAGAGATGTCTCTTCCTCACTGTTCTAGCGAATACGTTCCACCTCTGCTATGCCTTGAATCTAGAATGTCCCTCAAAGGCCCGTAAGTTAAAAGGCATGGCACCCAGTCCAAAGTAAAAGGACCAACCACCATGAAACCTCCAGACTGTGAGCCAAAATAATCCTTACTTCTAAGTTGTTCATATGAGGTCTTTACTCTAGTGATGGAAAGCTGACATAATGCCCAAGGAGACCATCATCCTGCCTTCCATCAGCTTAGATTGACCATATTTGTAAATGAAACTGATCTTAGGTTCCAGTGTGTTCTCCTTACTAGAGTGTTGGTAGCCAATGAATCTGGAAAATGGTCACATACTTGAGAGCAGGAAGCCTCCAAAACCATAAGCCAAATAAAGCTTTCCTCTTCTTTTTTTCTGTTGATTGTCTTAGGTATTTGTCACCATAATGAAAGCTACCTACCACACTGTGTCTTTTCTATATCCCAATGTTGGAGCATTGCTAACCTCCATGAGGTTATCTTCTCTCTAGAGATACAAAACTACTATGCATTTTTCAAATGCAAACCTAACAATCCTAATACCACAGCCTCAACCCCCCTCCATGACTGGGCTCTTAAACTCCATGGATCCATCACCCAGGGCCAGTTGCCATACTATTGCAAAACATGCCTTGGGGCCGGGGAGATGGCTCAGTGGAATAAGCGCTTCCCTGGCAAGCACAAGGGCCTGAGTTCAATCCCCAGTTCCGCCAAAAAAAAAAAAAAAGCCTGTGTGCCAGAGTCCATTGAAGTTATTCAACCTGGACATTTCTAAACTTGCCTACCCTGCCTTGCCCTTTTCTTCTGGCAGAAATGCCAACGAAAGTCTCTGCCCACACTTCCTCCCTCTCCCTCCTGACCAAAGGTAGTGCCACCCTGTGTGAGTCCCCATAGCCTAGGCACCTCCTCCTTCTAGGAAGAGTAACATATAATCTCATCAAGAGCACTGATCTCCTGATCTGTTGACCTCAACATCCCTGAAAAACATGATAAAATCAGTCAAAACAACATACTCTCATGTGTCCCCTAGTGTAGTCTTTTTTTTTTTTTTTTTTTTTTTCCCAGAACTGGGGATTGAACTCAGGCTCTTGCACTTGCCAGGCAAGCACTTATTCTACTCAGCTATCTCCCCAGTCCCCTCCCAGTGTAGTCTTGATGGCTGATAGGCTGCAGGCACCATGAGGCTAACCCTAACCTTGCAGTGATCCTCTCTCTCCAGCCTCCCAAGACCTGTGATTACAGGCATGTGCCACTATGCCTGGCCTAGAGCATGTCTTTGACCACCCATGGGACACTGTTAAAATAGCTGTGATGTAGAAATGTACAAAA